TGCTGTGTGCTGTTTCTTCAGCATCTTCTGGTTCCTCTTGCAGTTCTTCAGGCTCAGTGTTTAAATCATTCCTTCTGTTCTATCCCCATTTGCTTTGGTGTGTGAGAGAAGAGAGCCTGGCTGAATGATTGACATTTCAAACAAAACTCCACTACGATCCAAGGCTGTTACTCCATTTTCATTTTCCTTAATTTGTAGAAGCATGTCTCTGATCAGTGTGGAATTAATTTCAAATGCTTTCTCTGGCCGGCAAAATAATTGTACAGATGTCCTGGACTGTTTGGTGTATTTTGCTTTCATGTTCTGTCCATGTTGCTAGACCATCCCCCATGTTGGCCACAATAGCACAGGGACACCTCACAGCCTTTCAGTCTTGTCCTCAATTTAAGGGCCTTATCTCTCATCTACCTGAGCAGTGGCTCAAATTACTTCTCAGTGTCTTCATGACTTCCCTTGGTTTTCTCACTTTCCGCACACTTCACTCCTTCTTCTGCAATACTCTAGAACCTTTCATATCAAACCCAGAAAAAGCAATGTGAAACCATGTATCTATGTGAGGCAAATAATTTCATAGCCCGTTCCAGAAGCCACTCAACAAGCAGAGATTTGGCCTCTTTTCTTCTGAGCTAGGTCATGAAGTAGATATCATTTTCCTGTCATTCTTTCTCCATTTTGGTCTATATTTCTAATGCTAGCTGAATGATTTTTTAATTGAAACAAGAAGTTTACAAGCTGTAAGCTCTTTATTCATGCTAAACTGGATGTTGATGGCAAATTCTTTCCAAAAATGAACATGGTATGTCTTATTGGCAATCTCCTTGATCGTGTCCAGAATTTGATGGGCAAACTTCTTCCTAGCAACCTTAAACAGTTTATGTTGCTGAAGAGTCTTACAGAAAACATTCAAGAGGACATCATCCAAGTCCTCAGGCACATCATGGAAGCGGTCTGTGATGAATACTCGGTGATTATATAGCTTAATGCCATTGCTTTTCTTGGTTTTTTATTCCTCAAATAATCTATATGGTACAGGCATGGATACAAGTAAAATTGATTTAAAGGTTAACTGCTCCTTGGCAGTAAAGTAGATACAAGCCATGGGGTCATCACTTTCCTTTGAAAATGATTTGCAGCAAGCTTTGTGTTCATTTTCTTCTACTTCTTTCCATGGTCTCTGTCATATTGCTTGATACCATTCATAAATTCCAAATCTATAATTCATTGTCAACTTGATAGATTTTAGAATCACTAGGGAAATGCACCTTGGGGTGTGTGTATGTGGTTGTTTCCCAAAGGACTTAACTGGAAAGAACTACTTGGAATGTGGCTGGTGTCATTCCATGGGCTGGCGACACAATGTGACCATCCACTTCCTGTCCTGCTTCCATGCCATCCCCTCCATGGTGGATGATTCTCTCTAACCGTGGGTGAGAACAAACTCTCCCTTCTTCAGTAGCCTTTGAAGGTGTGTTTGATCACGGAAGGAAGGAGAGTAACTAATACACAACCCTACACAATGGTTTTCAGTTTTCTTAGTTCATTTCTTTTCTTCTGCCTCTAGTGCACTGGTTCTCAACCTGTGGGTCAAGACCCCTTGGGGGATTGAATGACCGTTTCTCAGGGGTCATCTAAGACCATTGGAAAACACAGATATTTACATTATGATTCATAACAGTAGCAAAATTAGAGTCATGAAGTTGCAATGGAAATAATTTTGTGCTCCGGGGTCACCACAACATGAGGTATTAAAGGGTCGCAGCATTAGGAAGGTTGAGAACCACTGTTCTAGTGCAGCTTCATCTTTATTTGAGACTTCTTTCACGGGCTTGTCAACAGTTTGAGTTTTGCTGTTGTATACATAAACACAAAGCTGATCTGCAGAGAATTCGGTCTAAAGTGATTTTTAACTGCATCCAGTTCAGGGTAACACAATGCTCCTCTTTTTTAAACCATGGCCAATTGTTTCCTGTCCTAGGGCATTTCATCTTGGGTCGGCAATTACAGAAAACTCTCCGAGTCCAGTTCTGGAAATGTGCTGGCTATTCTGTTTTATTTGTCATTTACTTTGGGTACTATTTGCCTTCTTGAGGTAGACAGACACAAAGTTGGCCAATCAATTTAGAAGATGACCCGTCATCTTCCTGAGTCACTGTCAATTTGTTTAAAAACTTGTGGATCTCAAATTTGAGACTGGATTTCTCTGTGTGATGTGTGTAGTTCTATCCTGGTCATACTAATGTTTTTAAACAATTCTTCTTTGGTCATTCTTATACCAGTGTCTGTAGGTTTTTCTTCTACTTTCACTTAATTTTGACTATTAGTGCTTCATTTCCAGAAAGTGAATTTTCATTATTTAATGATATTAGCCTTATCTTTGGTAAAGCGTCTTCTCTAAGCATTGGAAATCAGTCTTTGGGAAAAAAATCTATTTCATACCATGATTTGATGGTAACTTTCATCGTTGACTTCAGGCACACTTTAAATTTCTTTACTTTTTTTTTTTTTTTGACAGGGTTTCTTTGTGTATTTCTGGATGTCCCAGAACTTGCTTGGTAGCATGCTGGTCTTGAATTCAGAGATCTGCCTGCCTCCGCCTCTCTGGTGCTAGGATTAAAGGCATGCACCACCATGGCTCTACTTTCCAGATTTCTAAATTCTATTACTGTGATATATTTAATCCATACAAGTAGATGTCTTCTCTCTCTACTAGTTTTTAAAAATCTGTCCTTGAGCCTTTTTTGGATTTACTCAGGTCTCCTCTGTTGTACCATCAGGACATTAACTTCATGGTCTGTTCTGACCTACAAAGATCAGCATGGTTCAGCACAAGGTGAACCCTAATCCTAACCCTAACCCTTCATGGAACATGGACAATAAGTCCAGATCTTCTGGTCTCAGGAACCATCCCTGAGTCTCCATTTCCTGTCCTCATTCCTCATATGACTACCCACCATACCCTAAGCAGGTGAAACCTCTTTACCCCTGCTTCCACCCACAGAATATATAAGCCTAATTACTTCTGGCTCACTTTGATTCAATAGCCTGTTGAATATTAAATATGATGTGTAACCATAATGTAAATTTGTATCTTAGTTAGGAATGTATGATTTAGTTTTCTTGATGGCATTGATGTCAAATATTTGAGTTTCAAATGTAATTACTTTGAAGAATAAAAGATGTTCAGAGACTTTATCTTAGCTTCTTTTTAAAAATATAATTTTATTTTTAAAAAGCAGTTTTAGATAGAGAGCAAAACTGAACAGAATGGACAGAATCCCCACATATTGCAGGACACCCACATATTCCCTCATGCACGTTGCAGAGTACTGGTTAAAATTGATGAATGTATATTGCATATCATTATCACCCAAAGTCAGAGATTAGGGCTCACTATTTTTGTTGTACATCTGTGGATCTAACAAATGTATAATGACATATATTATAATATAGTATCATACAGAATAGTATCAATGTCCTAAAAGTATTCTTGGCTCTGACTTCAGATTTTTGTCATTTCCAGAATGACTTACAGTTGTGAAAAATAGGGGGTATAAGCTTTTTTCAGTTACTTTGACTTCTTAAATACCTTTGATGAATCTTAGTGACAACGTCACTTAGCAACTCTTTTTGTAGACGTATTTACCTTCCAGTACATCAAGCCCTCACCACTTGTCTTTGTTTATCTATGTTAATTCCATCCCATCCCATAGGGTCCTCACTGGACTAACCTTTTGTTTAATTTGGAGTTTCTCTACTATTAGGGCCTAATCCAATTTGTAAATAGGCTCTGTCATCAGAAGTGGCCCCCAAGATATGCTCTTGAAATTAAGTCATGACTGGCTGGATCAAACTTACCTTGCAGTAATTATTTCAGCTACTGTTAAGAATAACTGCACCTACATCCTATCCAGGACAGTAACCTTGTTCTCTTTGGTAGACTTCTGTAATTCTCAGTCAGCCCATTGAAGTCTCTCTCTCTCTCTCTTTTTGGTTTTTCCAGAACAGCTTTCTCGGTTTAGCCCTGGCTGTCCTGGAACTCGCCCTGTAAACCAGGCTGGCCTCGAACTCAGAGATCTGCCTACCTCTGCCTCCTGAGTGCTGGAATTAGAGACATGTGCCACCACCGCCTGGCTCTATTTAAGTCTCTTACATTCTCCCATCTTTAGAATTAATTTTGAATGCTGAGTGTCAGGGCACTATGCACTACATAAACCTAAGAATGATAGTTCAGCATTATCTAGAAGGATAAAGCTAGAAGATAAAGGTACAATTGGGGAGGAGTAAAAAAAGGGAACCAATTTTGTTGTCTGTTTAGTTTTCTGTTACACTGTTTTTGTAGGTTGTAATAACACAGTAAAGATTTTGTACAATTAGCGAGCAAAAGCTTAAGTATAAACAAACCCCGTAGTTTCTCAAAAAAAAAAAAAAGAAAAAATTGTTCTGGATTTCTCTTTTGGCTTGCTAGAGGAAGCAAAAATGGAAGTTTCCGGTGGTTTGCTGCTTTTTCTTGCCCTTTTAGCCATGAACACGACGCCGGGCTTAGACTTAAAGCTCCTAATGCTGTAACTGCCGGCCGGCTGGCTCAACACCGCCGCTGACCTGTTGTAAACCAACTCCTGGCTCCGGGTCAACAGCGAGCCGCGTTCCGGGGGCGGGATTTCCGTAGGGGGCGGAGCCTCCCGCTGCCGCCTAGCTGGGGGTGGGGGTCTGGGCGAGCCGCGGGGGTGGGCGGAGCGAGCCGCGCGGGCTGGGCGGGGCGTGCCGCGGCGGAGGGCGGGGCGTGCCGCAGGGACTTCCCCTGGGCTGAGCTGCGCAGCGGGTGCGCGGGGAATGGGGTGGCGGGTCGGGGCGGCGAGGCGTGCGGGTGGGCTTGGGTGGACCCCTCGGTGTTCCGGGCGGGGTTCTCTTATCCCGGGGTCGGCCTCGGACAGGGGGCGTTGCTGGGAGGCGGGGAGCCGCTCGGCCGCTACTCGTGCGACGGTGGCGAGCATGCGTGCGTGCGCGTGTTCCAGCGAGGCCGCGCGGCTGTCCTCCCCGTCTTCTGCCCTTCTTTCTCTCTCAGTTAGGGAACCCGAGCCCCGATCGGGGCAAGTAGGCGACCTCCTCCTGGTCAGGGGTGCCCGCAGAGCGGCCGGGAGGTAGCGCTGCTCCTGGAGTAGTGGGCAGCTGGTGGGAGCCGCTCAGGCTCGAGCCACAGGATTTTAAAGGACCTGTCTCTGTCGTTTTTACTTTTAGGATTTTGGCCAAATTGGGCGAGGGTACAATATTACCACTTACCCCTTCTCACCGAGGAAGAGCGGGAGAAAGGGTAAGTAAGTATCGCTTAGGGGCGGAAGGAGCCAAGACTATTCTTCGAGAGGGGGAACTCTGCCCCTGGGAACCTGGGTCCAAAATTCACTTGTTATCAGAAACTGGAGACCCACCTTCAAAGGTCACTGGCCCCAAGCCCAAGCCTTCCTTTAGGCTTCTGAAGTCTGTATAGTCTGCTGGAAGTTTAAACAGCTTTTTAAGTCACCTGACAGAAAACTCATTTCCTTTCAGAACCTCTTTAACCTGGCACAGTGATGCTCCAGTCCCTCTCTGGCCCCTTGTCTTGAGGTAGCATTCACCAGTAGGGTGTTAGTTAATCGAGTCTTTGCTTGGTAATTACCCCTCCAGGAATCTTTACATTTTAAAATCTGCCAACCGGGGGAAGAAGCACACAGGACCCCATAAAGGCAATAGCAATTTCATATACTTGAAATTCTTCTGTGATCTTTCAGAATTATGGAAGAAAGAATTCGTTCTCAAGCAGTCTGTGCTTTTCTGAAAAGTTATGGTGAAGTCCTAGGAAGTTTACTGAGATTTTCAGTGTCATCTCTTTCCATTGGTTCTTCCCTGAGACCTCTATTCTTTCTCCAATGCACTGCTTCCCTAGTCTCTATGTGGTGATATAGCTTCTCTCAGGTTGGGAACCTCCCAGCATTAAATATGTCACTGTTAACATTTACCTAAAATTCAGGTTAGCTATAAGCAAGGATAGTAAACCACATGTGTGTATACTTACGAAAGCTAGACTTACCCTTAGTGGCCATCCTGGCACAGGCCACATATGAACCTGGCTTCCTTGTGAAGTAGTGGAGGTTCACACAATTCATGAAAAACTAGGACATGGTTGTTTATTAATGAAGGGCTCTACTTATGATGTCCTTTCACCCTGTGTTGAATGAACGCTGATTAAAATGGGGTCTGGAGGGCTGGTGGTGATGGCTCTCATCTTTGGTCCCAACAGAGTCAGCCTGGTTTATGTAGGGAGTTCTAGGCCAGCCAGGGACACACAGTGAGACTTGGTCTCAAAGATAAAATAAACGAAATCCCATAAACAAACAAAACAGGATGTGGAGAATGAGACTGTGGGAGATGGCCTTTTCGGGGGGCTGGGCCTCAGGTTTCTGTGGAAGTTTTGAATAATTATGTGTAAATGTGCAAGAACTTCCCTCTGCTGCCGTCTCAGTGGCTTACGGCTCTTCAGTGTTGTATGAGAACAGTGCTATATCATTCCACTTCTCCGGTAGAGTCAGAAGTAAACTCTCAGGGGTGACTAGCCACGGAGATTTGTTTTCCATAATGCATAGTGTTCTAGTCATTTTCCGGTGCAGTGGATGCAGTGTTCGGGCACAATGACTGGATGAGAGTAACGCTTTGAGTTCTCCAAGAAGGCTTAATTTTAGGAACAGGGCGACAGCTAAGGGTGATGTACTTAGGAGAGTAGTACTGAAACACACCTGCCATGGGGTTCTGTACATTTAACCCATTTCTTTATTGGCCTGAGAATAGGTTAAGGTCAAAATTAAGTTACTTAAGGTTAACTCCTATAGGAGTATGAAAGAAAAACTGGAGTCTAATATAAATCTACCTCAGAATTTTTTTTTTAATATTTTGGTATTTACCTTTCCAAGGTTTTGTACCATGTATTAAGTTCACAGCTACATGTTAATTAGGCATACAGCTGAGGCATTTATCTGTATTAAACATATACAATGTCGTGTACATATTATATGTTACCATTACTTGGTGCACCTGTAAATTTTTTCCTTTTCTCCTATTCTTTTGGCTGTTTGCCACTAGTCCAGGCGCTCCCTAAAATCCTCGTGTAGAAGAGTCATCCATTATATAGTCTTTTGTTTTTCTGAGGTGATGGAGGTCAAACCCAGGCCCCTGCCCCTTCTCAGCCAGTTACTCTACCACACAGCCTCCGCCCAGCCTCCACACTTTCTCACTGTGTATCTCAGGCTGGTCTTGAACTGGTAATCTTCCTGTTTCAGGCTCCTGAGTGCTGGGATTCCAGGAGCGTGCCACCATGTCCGGCATTGTTTCTGTGATCTTCGATGCAGCCTTGACTCCGAGTCTTTGTTTTCTTTGCTCTGTCCTTGGGAGTGGTTACAGCTTCCCTGCTGCTGGATTTGATGCTCTCTAAATAGAACAGTGCAGACCTAGAAATGAAGACTGGACGAAGCAGAGTCTGGCACGCATGTGCTCACTGTCCCGTGTTGCCATCTGATCGACCAACATTTTCTTTCTTTTTTTTTAAAATTTATTTTTATTTTGTGTGCGTTGGTGTTTTGCCTGCATGTGTGGCTTATGCAGGTTTTGGATCCCCTGGAACTGGAATTACAGACAGATGTGAGCTGCAACCTGGGTGCTGGGAACTGAACCCAGGTCCTCTGGAAGAGCAGCCATTACTCTTAACTGCTGAGCCAACTTTACAGCCCTACCTATCATTTGCTTATGATCTTCCCTTGCACAGTGCCAGGCAGCCTAGAACCCGTTTTCCCACAAGTGCTAAGTCTGATTTATGCATTTTCATCATGCAGATGACATATATCTCCTGCACCCGATCCCAGAGTTTCTGAAACAGAGACCCTCATGTGGCTTGATTTTCCTTTATCGGATCATTCTACAGTCCTGCCTAAGGAGTGTCAGCTTGAGAACAAGAGAAAGGGTTTCTATCATGTGTGTAAAAGAGCTCTGACACCATTCCCAAAGTGAGACAGGCAGGCTACCACATTTATCTGAGTGCTCAAAGTTAGGATTTCTATTTCAGAAATATCTTTGGTTTATAAGCATTATAATAAAAATGCTGATGCTTCGTGTCCAAACTGTCATGATTTTGCCAAGTTGTGGGTCTGATATACAGCTAAGCTGTGCATTTAGTGTATCTAATACTGTGTCTGTAGCTGAGAAAGACAAGTCCACAGACATCTGACTTCACACCAGACATCTGGTTTCGCTTTGCTGAGGAGTACACTCTGTCAGTAGATTATAGGCATATCTGCTGTACTGCCGCAGTCTGTGGTATTTCTATTATGAGCACTGGTCTCCAGGGCCCAGTGTGATGTTTTATTTAAATGACAGCACCTGGTCACAGAAGCACATTTCCCACGGATGTTCTTACCAGTTAACAAGAGGAAGTAGTTCCTATTCTTGGCGAGTTTTTACACTAAGTTTTTGTAGAAGGAAATTGTCTTAAAAGCAAAACCTCAGTCTAGAACCTGCTGAGCTGAGAGTCCTGGTTCATGTCTGTTCAAGAACCTAAGCACTAAGGAGGCACAGACAGGCTAATTTTGAGTTCTAGGCTAGCCTTGTCTAAATAAGATCTTTTTTTTTAATTTAAAAAAAGGAACCTGATATGTTTTTAAAAGTGATTTTCCTCTCTCTCTCTCTCTCTCTCTCTCTCTCTCTCTCTCTCTCTCTCTCTCTGTTTCTTTCTTTTTTGAGATAGGGTTTCTTAGGTTTCCCTGGCTGTTCTGGAACTTGCTCTGTAGATCAGGCTGGCCTGGAACTCAGGAATCCACCAGCTTCTAGTTTCTGAATTAAAAAGTCCATTTTCAGGTCTGTTTTCTTTCATGTTAACAAACGAACTTACATAAAAAGAAGAACCAGTAGCATTTGGTTTTCCAGGTTACAATACTTTTAAAGCCTTTTAAACCATCACATGCTGTTAGAGATGTTGTGTGCTCCCACAGGTTTTAAACTTTTCCACTTACATTCCCTTTTCTCTAACAAATTTTTAAACAACTCTTGGCATATAGGGTATGTAAAGTAGGTATATAAATCAAACATCTACTTACAATAAGTCATGAAGCAATTCATTTAAAAATAGTTGTTTGATATATGAATGCCTTCACCATTTATTACAGAAGAGAAATTTGCATGGTAATGAAATAGATGTTCTCATTTATTTGCATACAGAATTAAATCTTGCCTGGAGACTAGATACTTCAGGACTTAGAACATCTTCAGCATTTTTCACAGAGGGTATATATTCTGATGTTATAATCATCAGTTCCAAGAATGTTGCTTCATATAAATATGTAGTAAAAAAATGACAGAAATGTGCTTAGGACCACCTCAGAAACTGTTGGACACCCTATTCCAACCCCAAGCCAACATTTTCTTTAAGTTTAATTACTTTGAATGGAATTCAAGTCAGCAACTCAAACAGTAATTTTTGAAATCAACTGTTCTAGAGCTGGGCATGGAGGATATCCTGGTCTCATGGAGCTCTAAGATAGTCAGGGCTAGGGATACACAGAGATACCCTGTCTTGAAAAACAACAACAACAACAACAACAACCACAAAACCCAACAACAAAAAAAGCTGTTATGTTTCTGTAAGAGCAGACCCCCTTGCATGTAAAGGAAAACCACTGGCGTTTCTAATGTACAGTTGTTTCAGATGGAAGCTGAGGTGTTTGAGCAGCATTCTGTGTCACATGGTGTGGCAGCATGTATGGTGTGAAGTGAAGTCTCATGGCACCGCATTCACTAGCTCTTCAAGAGACTCCCCCTTTGGTCATTCGGCACTCAGAAACCTTTTACTGCTGCCAAGGTTTTGTATTTGTTTTTATTTTTTTCTGTGAGCTGTCCTGTCCCAAGGTGTTTTATCCCTCAACTCTCTCTCTCTCTCTCTCTCTCTCTCTCTCTCTCTCTCTATATATATATATATATATATATATATATATATATATATATATATATATAAAACTCTGGGGTTGTAATTCCCATTTAAAAGGCTGGTCTAACTGAAATGCATAGTAGTATTTTGCAGAAGATTGTATTCTGATAATTCAGTGTGGCTGAAACACATCCTCTTTCACATGGATGTTGAGGGTCATTGATAAATGCTGGAGGCCTGTCCTTTTGGATTTGAGAGTGGGCTGTGTGATCTTGGGGACAGTTCCTCATCTGAAAGATGGGGTGTTACTCACGGTTGCTGTGAGATTCAGTGATTGTAAAGTAGAGTGACCGCTAGAAAATAGGTTGTTGGTCA